GCTGGAACCCAAGAGGTCGAGGCTGCAGGGAACCATGTTTGTGCCACTGCACTCCAGCCCGGGTGAAAGAACAAGCCTCCATCTCAAAAAATAAATAAAATAAAATAGGTAAATCCTGAAGAGACCTCCTATCTGAGAAGATATACCAACAGCAAATGAGCATATGAAAAGATGCTCGCATCATATGTCATTAGAGAAATACAAATTAAAATAGTGATATTCCACTGCACCCCTGTTAGAATGGCCAAAATCCAGAACACATTCTACAAAACAATGAGTCTATAATTTGCCAAAGCGCCAGGTCATAAAAATCAAGGAGACCCAGGAACTATTCCAGAGGAAAGAAGAGTAAAGAAATGTGTTTTCTAAATGCAACAAGTGATGCTCAATGACATCTTTTTGCTAAAAAGGGAATATCAGGATAATCAGCAAAACCTGAATGGTGCCTGGGAGTTATATGATCACAATGTATCAGTGTTAATCTTCATGCTCTGATCATTGTATTGTAGATATTTTTGAGAATGTCCTTCTTTCTAGGAAAAACTCAAGTATTGAGGAATCCAGTTAGCAACTTATTCTCAAATGGTTTGGGAAAAAAGTTCTTTGTAATACTCTCCAACTTTTCTGTAAGTTTGTGATTATTGTAAAATAAAAAATTTTATTGAGGAGATGGCCATAAACTCTATGGAAGCAGAGATTTTGTTTCCCTCCTGTGAATCTCCAGAACAGCACCTGACAGTAAGGGCTTCATAAATATCTGATGAATGAATGAATGTGGGTTAGGGACATGAGAGCAAATCTGCCCTAGAAATCAAGACAATGTCTAAAGCTAAGAAGTGAAATAGTAAAATATACATAATTATTTTTAAATCTGGAGAAAACTACCAAAATAAACAACTTTAAAAAGTGGGTTTATCTCTAGGGGACATTCTGGGGTATGCAAAGGAAAAAATTATTTTTCACTGTAGTCCTTCTGTAATATGGGATTGTTTAACCAAGTATTAGCAAAGTATTATACTTTGATTCTTAAAAATATTAGGCAACTTCAAAGAGAAATACCAAAAACTAACTGAAATATAGTTGAGGTAGCTTCTCACAATAATTAAAGGAAAGGGAAATCCGTACTTGGAAAAGTAACACCTAATAATTCTGTTTTTCACATGCCAATTCAGTCACACCTCACATTAGCTTTTTGTTGTTGTTCACCATAACCTTTTCCTTTTCAAAGATAAGCACAGTTCATTCCAGTACTAATTGTAGTAAGCAGGAAACAATTACTGCCCAGCAAGCTGGGACTCCTGAAAGTAATTTTGACATATCACACAATGGAAAGCCACACAATAATTAAACATAGTGATGTAGTGCCTGGTATTTTTATTCCTCCAATGGAAAAAAAATATAAAAGGAAAGAATACACTCCCATCAACAATAGATAGGGGCTACCTTCTGCCATAATTCTCACCTGGACCCCCTACAGAAGGCATATCAGAATCTGAGGCAGGGGCCACATGGGCTGAGGCTGCCACAGGCCAGGTGCTGAGTCAAGCACACTACACAGATGGCCCAGTTCAGCAACTCCCAGGGGGATGGTGACGACACCACCCCACGTCCCAGAGAAGGAAGCAGCCTGACACCTTGACAGTCTCACATCATAGTCTATGTCCTTAAACACGTTATACCGAATATATTTGACCTAGAAAGGAGTTCAGCCATATACTAAGTAAAATACATTACAAAGAGGCATATATAGTAGGATTTCATTTCTGTGAAATAAAAATTTTATAAATACCCTCTGGAAAACTTTGGAAAGAAAAGCTCTACAATTTTATTTATTTATTTCTTTTTGAGCCAGAGTCTCGCTGTCACCCAGGCTAGAGTGCAGTGGCACAATCTTGGTTCACTGCAACCTCTGCCTCCCAGGTTCAAGCAATTCTCCTGGCTCAGCCTCCTGAGTAGCTGAGACTACAAGCACGTGCCACCACGCCACCTAATTTTTGTATTTTTAGTAGAGACAGGGTTTCACCATGTTGGCCAGGCTGGTCTCAAAGGTGATCCACCCACCTTGGCCTCCCAAAGTGCTGGGATTACAGGCATGAGCCACCGTGCCCGGTCTACAGTTTAATTTAATTAATTGTTGGTTTTTTGAGACAGAGCCTCTGTCACCCAGGCTGGAGTGTAATGACACAATCTTGGCTCACTGCAACCTCCACCTCCCAGATTCAAGCGATTTTCCTGCCTCAGCCTCCCAAGTAGCTGGGACTACAGGCATGCGCTACCACACCCGACTAATTTTTGTATTTTTTTTAAATAGAGATGAGGTTTCACCATATTGGCCACGCTGGTCTTGAACCCCCAGCCTCAAGTGATCTGGCAGCCTTGACCTCCCAAAGTGCTGGGATTATAGGTGTTAGCCACTGCACCTGGCCATGACGCTGCAATTTAAAAAAGTAGATAGTGAGATGACAGGTTTCTACAGTTAGGGCTATTGATAGTAGCAAAAGGCAACCAAATGTCTAGGTAGACAGGGGTGGGTCCCTGGTGAAACCCAATCTTCAAGCAGAAAACAGTTTCAAAGCCTAGCTACAAGTCTCAGGTAATCCACTGACTGGATTGAGGACCTGTCTTCCTGTTTGGCATTTTTTTCTCTGATTGATCTCTACCCTTCACCTATTTCACATATACCTACCCTTTCCTAATTGGTTTTCTACACTGTCATACCCACCTTTGAGTGGTGTGTTTACTTTAAGCTTTTTTGCATACGCACTAACCAATCAGCACGCACTCCCCATTCTGAGTCCATAAAAAGCCCCAGCCCAGCCACACTGAGAGAGAAACCACCCATCCAAGAAGAATGAGGTTACACTGAGAGCTGTTCCGTTGCTCAGTAAAATTCTTTTCTGCCCATCCTCACCCTTCTAGCTGTCAGCATAACCTCATTCTTCTTGGACACGGGACAAGAGCTTGGGAACCACTGAATGCTATAGCACAGGTGGGCCGAGTGAGTGGGGAGCCTCCAGCGGCCAGGCCCAGGACTGTGCGAGGCCCAGGTGGGGGACAGGGTTTGGGCGTTGCTGGCCATGGAAAAGTGGCTGAGAAAAATTCTTTGTACCTTTCTTTCTCTGTGATGAGCAACATTACCAAAGTAATTGAAAATAATCTGAAGTAAAGAGAATATTTTAGTTGGCTAAAGCTTTAATGTAGTTGTAGTTTACTATGGAAATATTATGACCACAGGTATCAGTAAGCCCTCATTTGACTCGTCAACAGGTTCTTGGAAACCATGGATTTAAGTGAAACAAAGTACAGCAGGCCCTCAAATTACGTTGTTTCTCAAGGTTGTTTGGTTATAACATTGTTTTACTTAAGGTCAGTTTCCAAGAACCTATCTGAGACATGAAACGAGGCCTTCCTGGACACACATCTAGCATAAGTGTGAAATGGTGGAGGAACCACCACAGAGTGTGAGCCAGGCATCAAAGGGGCTGACAAATTTCACCCTCGTCCAGCAATTCTAATTCATTAAATATCTTTTTTTTTTTTTTTTTTTTTAGTCGGAGTTTCGCACTTGTTACCCAGGCTGGAGTGCAATGGTGCGATCTCGGCTCACCGCAACCTCCGCCTCCGGGGTTCAGGCAATTCTCCTGCCTCAGCCTCCTGAGTAGCTGGGATTACAGGCATGCGCCACCATGCCCAGCTAATTTTTTGTACTTTAGTAGAGACGGGGTTTCACCATGTTGACCAGGATGGTCTCGATCTCTTGACCTCGTGATCCACCCGCCTCGGCCTCCCAAAGTACTGGGATTACAGGCTTGAGCCACCGCGCCCGCCCTTCATTAAATATCTTAAAGACTGGCATTAAAAACTAGGTATTTCTGCCCTTATAAGCCTGTCTTCCATATTTTTATGCATACTGTTGCTTAAGTGAAAAATCAATCACAAATACATATGTATACTCTGAGGACAGATAGTGATTACTGGTCTAATGGCTAGGCTGAAATAAATCAGTCCTGCACATGAACAGGTGCCTGTTGTGTTCTTTATGTGACAGTAAAATCTCTAAGTGAAATGCAGGACATGTGATCTCTTTCAACATCTACATCACAATTGGTTACATTAAATTAAGAAAAGAGAGACAGAGAATTACCATGGCCCTTCTAGACAACCTTTCTAATCTTTAAAAAGTTATGAATACCTTTTTCATGCTGCCTATGAAATAACCACACTAGCAGAACTCACCCAGTGCTGTGGCTGTTGGCCTGAGGTCACCGACAACACTCTTGCACCATGTATGCCGCAGGGACTGTGCCAGAAAATTTAAGCCACGTGAATCTGATAGAAAGAATAAATTTCAGGATTAAAGCATGAAATAAAACCCAAAATAAAAATGTGAACTCGTTCGTACACTACTTCTGCTCTTGCTTTTTGCTCTGAGGTTACAGGAGAGCAGACTAGGGGACCCAAGGTGAGGGGACTAAAAACTGGATGTGGACAGAAACATCCGAAACTGTTTCCACGGTCCGTGACGAGCTCTTGTATTTTCATGCTAAGGGTCACTTGCGATAAATAGCTCTTTTTAAAAGTGTCTAGAAGTCTAAATATTCAAAACCTTGTTTTGTTAGAATCTCTAAATTACAAACATTTGGACTTCTAACAACATAACTTGATGTTAATAAGAAATTGAGGACAGTTTTTTCCTGTCTCACGAACACATTGTAGCACTTTATGACCTTATAATCTGTCACGGCCTCATCAGAATTAAACTTTAAATATTAAACAGAGTCCAAGTCTTTGTCTCCATGTGGGGAAAAGTCTGTACAACTTATATCTATACGCTAAGATTATTAACAAAATAACATAAGGGAAGTTGATATGGTGAGAATCAACTCACTTTCTATTCCTTGAACATCTTTTTCTCGCAAAAACATTGGCCAGAGGGTAAGTGCTGGATTGAGTTTACTGGAGGAGGGTGCTGATTTTATATCCAATCTTGGTTTTTCTAAATAATCAAGGTTTTTATTCTTTGTAGGTGACATATAACAAGCATAGTTCTTTGCAACAAGATCATCATTAACACAAACCTGTAAAATTTTAAACATTTCATAAGACATAGTCAAGTGAATTTAAAGAAAATATTCAAATTTCAGTTTTCAGAGAAATTATTTTATAGAATATAATCTGATAGTTGGCTAAAGCTTTAATGTAGTTGTGGTTTACTATGGAAATATTGTGACCACAGGTATCAGTAAGCCCTCATTTGACTCGTCAACAGGTTCTTGGAAACCATGGATTTAAGTGAAACAACATTTGACTCCTGCTCTGGTAAACCAAATACTTCCCACTAATCCTTCTAACTGGCGTGAGGTGGTATCTCAATGTGGTTTTGATTTGCATTTCTTTAATAATCAGTGACGATGAGCATTTTTTCAATGGTATTTTATCAATATTACTTTTCTGGTTTTAAAATCCGTACTGAGGTTTTGTACTATGTTAACATCAGGACAAACTGGGCAAAGCATATCCCAAAATCTCTGTGCTATTTCTGCATCTCATCTCTAAGTCTAAAACTATTTCAAAATATAATTTTTAAAAAATCCATGGTGAAGGTGCCCTCCATGGGCTCTGAGCAGCCCTGGATCTGCCCCTTCTGTCCACCTCTGTCTAGTGCTGAGCTGTGCCCTGAGCCATCCTTCAGAAAGGGCAGAGGCCAAAATGCTAGCAGCTGGCAGCTGGCAGAGGTGGGGGCCGCTCACATGTGATATCCGCTTTCTTTCCACTTGTGATCTCAATTTTTCACAGCAAGCACATGTTACATACAGTGAGCAAGTATGGGGGAAAGGCAGTGAACTAATGCTACAGCAAATCACTATATTTTTAAAAATCACATCCAATAAGAAGAAAACAACATTTCATGATAATGATAATTTCTTGGTCATTTTGAAATAAAATGTCAAACTCATTTTTTAAAGCAATCAAAAGAAGAAAATACAGACCTGGCTAACTTCAAATCTAAGACAGACCTTAAGAGATAAAGACAATCTCTATGCTGTGTGAACAACAGTGTTTTTAGTGTTTTCCTTGGCATTTTTTGTTTTATTAAAAAAATTTTAAATCATGATAAAATATTTTAAAAATACAGTTCTTTCACTTACTTTTTCATCTTTTATAGTTACATAAAGGTAAACCTCAAATGTATCTTCTTCCACCGCACATAATCTGGCTTCCACCTGGGTAGTTGCTAAATAGCATAAATGAAAACACAAATTAGCTGATGTTAAGAGTGTATTTGAAACAATCATGACTATTTCCCACCTAGTAACTAACCACTTAAGAGTGCCCAAATGGCTTCCTCAGGCAGGACCCAGAGGGAGCATGTTAGGCAAAGGCTCTCCTAATTGTGGAGTGGGTCACGGGTCCTGTCCCTATCAACAGGTTCCTGTGCCACCCCATGAATACCTCCTCAAGTATAGCTCCTGGTCCTCTCTTCTCCTCCACTGCCTCCCAAACCCAGATTTCCAGTCCCAAGCCTTCATGTGAGATCCGCTGTACCCTGCAAATCCCCACGGAGTGCAGCACCTGGCTACTCCCTTAGAGACTCCAAACCCCATGGGCAGCTGCATCACTGCCACCTACCAGGCACAGTGCTAAGTCCTTTAGAAACCTTCTTTTGCTGAGTTTTTACCACCACCTTCAAGGTATGTACAGTGATCATGTGACGAGTGAGGAGACCAGGCTCAGAAGTTAAGTGACTCGCCTCAGCCATGGAGGACTAGGTGGCCGGCCTCCTCCAGACCCACATTCTCATCTCCCAGCAGCCCCTGTGGCTCACAGGGGCCAACACTCCAGTCCCAGTGACCTCCCAGCCTCCCACTGCTCCCAGGTCAAAGGATCTGGCTCCTCCTCTACCCAGATAATGGCACAGCACAGGAGAGGAGCCAGGACCCAATGAGGTACCAGGCAGTACCCCAGGCATTTCCCACCCACCAACCCTCTCACTAAAACCAGGTATCTGACTGCCAGGGGTTAAGACAGAAGCCACAAAAGACAGTGTTTATAGTCACTGATTTAAAATAAAAAGAGCATACGAAATTGGTTGCTGAAGACATTTTATGCATCTTAAATTAGCAGTAATGATCATAACACAATAAATATCCATTTGCTATCTCTTGCTCACTAAAAATGCTAGGTTTTTCATCAATTGCTGGTCCAACGAAAACCACATGAATTTATTTTGCAGGGCCGCAGCTTTTATGCCAACTAAGAGGCAGGCATTATTACTGTGTAGGGGTTCCCCTGCACAAACAGCCCCCTGCTGATCTCAGCTGTCAATTACTGACAATCCACGCCACTATGGGTGCAGTTACTGTGGCACTTGAGCTGGAAGAAGTCCCAGGTAGCTTAGGGAACCCCTCTGAGGAGGGCCGTTCGGCCAGCAGTGGCATCTCCAACCCTCTCCGGCAGCAGAAGCTGCGGCCTCTGTGGGTGTCACTTCCCGGCAGGCTGCAGTGATCAGGCACTGGCTTACCTTTGAGAAGGTTTTGAAAGTACTGAACAGCTGCACTGTCCCATTTCCTGGCAGGTCTGGAACAGTGAACAGATGCAACTTCATTACATAAAAATCTGAGGCTAGCACACCAACAGCATTCTGTAAAGCACGCACCGGACATTTCTCACACTACATATGGAACACGTGATGCAGACGATGGGACGCCGGGCGCTGGCCCTGCTCTAGGGGTGAGGATCCCACTGCATCCTGCAACATGCTCAAAACTGTCACCTGCCCAGGTGCAGACTCACAGCACAGAGGCCCCACTAAGAATGACCTGTGCCCACCACTGCACTGCCTGGCACGACACCACCACCCCCGCTACCTGCGACGAATCAGCCTCCCCAACCAGAACACAAGCTCCTGGGGCAGGGATCCTGAGTATGGGGTGTCTGGCGCAGTCTGGCACAAAGAGGGAACATGTGCTAATATACCAACACTCTAACAGGCAGTCATGGGACAGTCAGCTACTATCTTTGTTTCATTTTGTTTGTTTTGAGACCGGGTCTCACTCTTTACCCAGGCTGGAGTGCAGTGGCACAAACACAGCTCACTGCAGCCCTGAACTCCTGGGCTTAAGCGATCCTCTCCCTCACCTCAGCCTCCTGAGTAGCTGGGACTACAGGTGTGCATCACCATACCCAGCAATGAAAAAAAAGTTTATTTATAGAGACAGGGTCTCGCTATGTTGCCCAGGCTGCTCTCAAACTCCTGGGCTGAAGCGATCCTCCTGCCTCGGCCTCCCTAAGTGCTGGGAGTAAAGGTGTGAGTACTGCACTGGGTCCCAGCTACTATGAAACTACGGTTCCTCACTCTGCTGACCCTAGAGCCCTCTCACTGGCTCCCATTTTACCCCTACCATCTTGTCTTTTCTACATCTTTCTTTTGCTTTGCCAAAAAAAAAAAAAAAAAAAACTTGCAGGCAAAGTTGTAGGCAGTGGGGAAGGAGGAGAAACTTGTAAGCAAGGAGAAAAATAAAATGTAAGGTCAGAATGATGTTCTATGCTTCTTCTGATTTTATGTATCAGAGATGCACCCATCATCCTCCAAAAATTGTTTTAAAGATCAAATGAGATAATGTACATAGAACACTTAGCCGAGTGCCTGGACATAATCATTACTCAAAACTGGTAGTTTTTTTATTTTTATAACAGAGATATTAAGCAATTCAAGAAAATTACAAAGGATTTCTAAAAGGCAGTAAAGACAGTAGTTCTAAAACCTTGTTACACATAATCACCTAAAAATTAGCTTTTTTAAAAAAAGCAAAAGCGAGTTGATTCCTAATAACACAAGAGAAAACTCAGTCTAGTGTAGGAACGGTTAAATCAGCCAGTCTCTCTCTCTCTCACACACACACACAGAATAATCACATCAGCCAGTCTCTCTTCCTCTCTCTCACACACAGAATTACCACATCAGCAAGGCAGGGCAGGGTAGGGCAGGGTAGGGTAGGGTTGGGTAGGGCAGGATAGGGCAGAGCAAGGCAGGGCAGGGCAGGGCGAATGAAAGGAGGGGAGAAGGGGGAGGAGGGAGAGGAGTGGAGGATGGGGGAGAGGAGGAGGAGGGAGGGGAGGAGGGGACAGGAGAGGAGGAGGGGACAGGAGAGGAGGAGGGGACAGGAGAGGAGGAGGGGAAGGGAGGGAAAAGAGGGGAGGAGGGGAAGGGAGGGGAGGGGAGTGGGTTGGGGGAGGGGAGGGGAGGAGAGGAAAGAAAAATTAGCTAGGTGTAGTGGCATGTGCCTGCAGTCCCAGACATTCGGGAGGCTGAGTTAGGAGGGTTGCTTGAACCCAGGAGGCTGAAGCTGCAGTGAACCATGATCATGCTACTACACTATAGCCCGGGCAAGAGGGTGAGACCCTGTCTAAAAAAACGTGTGTGTGTACACACGTATATAATGCTCCATGATTCTGCCTTATGAATATTTTTTTTATAGTTAATTTATTACTTTTTTTTTTTTTTTGAGATGGAATTTCGCTCTTGTTACCCAGGCTGGAGTGCAATGGCGCGATCTCGGCTCACCGCAACCTCCGCCTCCTGGGTTCAGGCAATTCTCCTGCCTCAGTCTCCTGAGTAGCTGGGATTACAGGCACGCGCCACCATGCCCAGCTAATTTTTTGTATTTTTAGTAGAGACGGGGTTTCACCTTGTTGACCAGGATGGTCTCGATCTCTTGACCTTGTGATCCACCCGCCTCGGCCTCCCAAAGTGCTGGGATTACAGGCTTGAGCCACCGCGCCCGGCCTAATTTATTACTTTTTATAAGTCTGAAACAAAGGCAAGAAGCACAGAGCTAGGCCTGCTCCAAACTCCTCAACCACAGCAAGGTCAGACAAACACTGACTCAGAAGCCCCTCCTGAGGAACACAGAGGCCTCCTGCTCAGCACTTCTACAGAGGAACTGGCTTCATATAACACCATGCTTGATAGAAGGCTTTTACTAAGGATTCAAAGGACTTAAGAAGCTGTACTTACACGATGTCAGTGCTGTCTTCGCAGAAGTCAATGTGTAATGTGACAGGCCTTGTACAGTACAGGCTGAATTTTTTTGCTCTATAGGGAAGCTGCATAAACGATTCTACTGCAACTCGGATGCTAAAAAGTGAAAGAGAAACAGCTCCATTATATAGAAAATTATATACAACATATTCCATTAAAGTACACCTATTTTACTAATATACTTAATGTAAAACAAAACACACAAAAAACAATTCTTTCTGTTTCTAATGTAGCCATCAACAGTGCTTGGAGACATTTGGCCGAGAGGGAAAAACTGTTTCTTGGGACGTTGAAAAAAATCGACTCTTTTGATACATAAAGCACCGATATGGTACAAAGATAGTGTATCAGTGAAAATGACATTTCATGACCTAGGGGTAGGAGTTGAGAGAAAAAAAAATGTCTAATAAGGCTCCTGGCCCGGGCACGGTGGTTCACGCCTGTAATCCCAGCACTTTGGGAGGGTGAGGCAGGTGGATCACCTGAGGTCAGGAGTTTGAGACCAGCCTAGCCAACATGGTGAAACCCTATTTCTACTATAAATACAAAAATTAGCCAGGCGTGATGGCACACTCCTATAATCCCAGCTGCTCAGGAGGCTAATGCAGGAGAATCGCTCGAACCTGGGACTCGGAGGTTGCAGTGAGCCAGGATGCACTCCAGCTTGAGCAACATGAGAGAAACTCAGTCTCAAAAAAAAAAAGTCTAATAAGGCTCCTTAGGTGAACAAATACTGGATACCAATGAACAAATCTATAAAGCAAACTCTATTCAAGATTTTCTAAACATCAATCTCAACGTATGACCAAAATTACCTTAAAAGTTTCTGTAAATAAACAGATGTTTTAATAGTATTTGCCAGCTTTGCACAAAAGAGCTGCAGGACTGAGATTTTTAAATCATAAGTTCAGCAATTTAATTTCCATTCTTCTTCAGCAAAAGACAGAGCACTTTATTTTTCCATTTTTTTCTTTGTAGAGTATGGGTCTCACTATGCTGCCCGGGCTGGTCTTGCTTGAACTCCTGGCCTCAAGCGATCCTCCTGCCTTGGCTTTCCAAAGCACTGGGATTACATGCATGAGTCACTGCTCCTGGCCGAAAAACCACTTCCACATACTGTTTCCACATGAACTGGCTCTCTTTCCAGGGTTCCTATTGTGCCCTGTCTGGGCAGCCTGGCCATCTTCTGTCCCAGGCAGGTTAGAAAAAGGTGGCTGCACTCATGGCCCCTGAAGCGTCCTCAAGCTCTATTTAATCATGTGATTTTCTCACCCCAAACAAACTAAATGTAAAATGCCAAATGCAAAAAGAAAAGCTCTCCAGTTAAACACAATAATTGTTTTGGCAGCAATTATGATTGTATGAAATGCAGGATCACAAGCTCAAATTCTTACAGTAAGTACTGCAAATTCCCAATGTCTGA